ATCAATTATAATTAGAAAAAATGTAAGTGTTTTTACAGGGTAATTCTTTTCTACCTTATGAGCTTTACATTTAAGTATCTTCAGTTGTTTGGCGATGTTTGGTGATTTTTTATCAAATGTACTGTCTCAATGTGAATCTGTTTTTCTGACAAAACTCTATTTCTAAATTTTGTACAAACCATGATTTTGCTTCAATTAAACAAAAATGTGCATGTACATGTACACACTTTTTGGTGTGTGGTATTTTTTATATTTAAATTACTTTATTTCTCATTTAGTTACATTAAAGAAGGCAAAGAAAATGCAGTTATGGTAAATCAAACGCGATCCAAAAGTGTTGAGTTGGAGTTAAAAAGAACTGAAGAAAATCGTAAGAAAAGGTCAGAAGAGATTGCAAAAATTACTGATGAGATTTCTAAGCAAGAGATTAGAGCAAGAGAAATTGAGGATAATATCAAGTGGATAAAAAATATGGTACATATATGTATATATATTTTTATATATATATATATATATATATATATATATATATATATATATATATATATATATATATATATATATATTTATATATATATATATATATATATATATATATATATATATATATATATATATATATATATATATATATATATATATATATATATATATATATATATATATATATATATATATATATATATATATATATATATATATATATATATATATATATATATATATATATATATATATATATATATATATATATATATATTAAATAGATTTTACCTGAAAAATTATAATTATTATTAATATATTAATTATATAAAAGCTCTTAAATTTTTTTTGTTTTATTTATATTTTTTATTTAAAAAATGTTTTAGAATGAAATAGATTTGATTGAAAAACAAATTTTGAAACTTAAAGCAGACTTGTCCAAATATGGTGATTACAAAAGATTTGTTCAAGAAAAAGAAGATTTGCAAACACAATTAGATAAATGCAGATTAAAAAAAGCTGAAATAGAAGCTTCTAAAAAAGGATTTGAATCTGAAATAGGAAGATGTGAGCGAGATTTAGGTATAAAATTTGAATAATTATTTATGTTCTTAATCTATAAATTTCTTAATATTGTTTTAAAATAGTTTAAGTTAATATAAATATAAATAATGTAAATAATAATGTAAATAATATAAATTTGTAATGTATATGCACATTTTTGTTGAAAACTCAAATATTAAAATATAAAATTATGACAACTTTTATAACAGAATTTTTTTAATAACTTAACATTGTACAACTAACTTTTTTATATTTTTAACAATGATATACAGCCATTTAAGAAGACATTTTAAAAATAATATTGTATACCAGTTAATAAGTTAATTTTTTCAAATGTATTTAATCTTGATTGTTAAAATATCTTTTATCTCTATTACTTCAATTTAAAAGTTTTGCGATGGGTTATTGTTTATTTTTTTACATTATAATAAAATGTATGCAAAAAAAAATTGAAAAATAACCACTACAGAGTAAAATTTAGTTTTTATAAAAAAGATAATTTCAACATTTTTTAAATTTAAAAATAATATTGAATAAGATTTAAATTGCCGAAGCACTGTATTATTTAAAATTGGAAAAATTAATTTCAAAAGTTTTTTTTTTTTTTTTTTTTTTTTGCTTTTAACACTTTTAGTTAAGGGAGACTGGGGGCTAGTTGCAACAAAATTTAAAAAACTGCAATTAAACTTTTATATTTTTGAAAATTTTTTTCAGGGGTATAAAATAGATCTTAGTGACATATTAAACCAACATTGATAAATATAATATAAAACTTAGTTGTTCCACAATAGTGAAACAAATAATGAAAAATAAAGTTACAGTTTACCCTGCATTTGGGGCAAGCTGCAACAGTGAACAGGGTAAGTTGCAACAATACTCTAATAGTATAAGCCTTGCAGAGTTTACAGAAAAATTACTAGTTAATTTGTAATATCTATTTTATAATTACAATAAAAAGAAAGTAGTATTTTCATTGAGCTGCAATACTTTTATTATGCTAGACTTTACATATACCTGACTTGTTTAGTAAACTAAAAACTGTTTTTGAAAAAAATTCTCTTAGTCAAATAAACAATAATTAAGTTCATAAAAAGGCAAGAGGAGTATTTAGGATATTTAAGTTCTGTTTATTTCTGTTTTTATTATATAAAAACTCAATAACATTTTGTTTAAAACACAATTTTTTTAATGCAAAAAATTACATTAATTCCATTTTAATTCAACTTGAATGTTTTTTTTTGTTGTTGTTGATGTAGAAGTATTAAGCTTTCTCTTTCTAGAACTAATTTTTTTTTCAGCCATAAGTCTCTGTTTTACTGAAGTATCTGTAAGAATTTCTGCATACTTTCTTTTTGATCTTGTGAGTATTTTTTCCTAGGTTGTCTTTTTGATAGAGGTTTTACATTTTCTGGGGAAAATTTTAATGATGCCAGAGATGGAATTGCATCTGAGATTGAAGTTGATATACTAATATCAATACCTGCTTTAGATTGAGTTGCTGGAGGATCAGTAACAAAGGATGGAGCAAAATCTACATCTGAAAATATATCTTTATCATATGTGAATATTCCTGACACTCTAAAACCAAATTTTATGTTTTTTTGTGTAAGAGAATGCTGTAAGGCTATTTTTGCAATTCCTGGCAAATCATATATACTTATTGTTTTCCTGGCCATTGTTTCATCCATGAGTCTTGTGCATTAGCTATGCATTTCCTGGCCATTGTTTCATCCATGAGTCTTGTGCATTAGCTATGCAAAATTTTTTGAATGGTCCAAATACATGTCTATCTAGAGGTTACAACTTATGTGAGCAATGAGGAGGGAAGGAAAGGAAAACTATACCATTATCTTTACACAATGTTATTAATTGAATAGATAAATGAGACTGATGGTTGTCTAAAAGCACAAGGCTTTCTTTTGTGGGCTTGACATGGTGAATAAAGTGGTTTAAGTAAGTAACAAAACGCTCCTCCTTCATCCAGCCTGACCCATTTGAAGCACCAATGCATTAATTTGGTACATCACAAATAAAGTGATAAAAAAATTTCTTTCTTGGAAATAGAAACATTGAAGGCACACTATTGCCACATGCATTTACAGCTAACACCATTGTCACTAGTGTCCCTCGTTCTTAAAATGATGATGTTCCAACTTATTTAATAACTTTACAAGCTATTATCATATTTTGTTTTTGTACAGTTGCAACTAGTTTCTCGAGCAAGACTTGTTGCTTCTGAAATTCTGATAGACCATCAAGAATGTTGATTAAAAAACCCTCTCATTCAGTCAGGACCATGACCAGGTCGTTGAAAGTTTTAATCAAGATTTGGGAAAATTAATGTTATACTTTATTTATTTTCAAATGCAAGCTTTCATGCTTCATAAGGTAATAATCTAAAATAAATATCTGAAGCTGTTGATATATATGAAGTAATAGTTTTTTCTTATTCTAAATTGAAAACTTGGCGTGACTTTTTATAACCAGGAATAGGTAACAGCATTCCCATATCAAAAGCTTTTTTTACTTTATTTATGTAACGAAAAAGAGTCGAGTAGTGAATTCCATACTTTTTTGCTGATGCTCTAATCAATATTTCTTTTCCATCAATAGCATGGTTTGCTGCATCTATTATTTACAATAAAATGTATGTATGTATGTATGTATGTATGTATGTATGTATGTATGTATGTATGTATGTATGTATGTATGTATGTATGTATGTATGTATGTATGTATGCTTGTATGTATGCATGTATAAATATATATATATATATATATATATATATATATATTTATGTAGTATTTATTATGTATATATACATGTATGTTATATGTATATTATGAAATAATATACATATAACATACATGTATATATACATAATATATATTACATAAGTATATATACATATAAATACATATAAACTTATCTTCATCATAAAATTTTTGTTTCTTTTATTGTTATGCTGTTATATAATAAAAGCGTCTATTATTTTAAAAAAAAACTAGAAAAGTGCGCAAAATCAACAAAACCCACAGCTAGTTTATGATTCAACTTACCTCAAGCAATTTGATGCAACTTACCCTATAGGCATCATAATCACTCTAATCATTGTATATAATTATTCATATTGCGAAAGTCTTTTTTTTTTAGCTTTTCGTGTTTAAAAAAGATTTTCGTGTTTTAAAATTGTTTCTCGTATATTATTATTTAGTTTATTATTTATATTATAAAATTATATCATAAAACATAAAAATATTTTGGAAAACCGGATCAAAATTAAAGTTGCAATATTTCAAAAAAAACTCAAATATTTTTAGCCAAAATTTTTCATACAATTTTTTTTATAAATATGACTCATGTGTCAAAATTTGATGTAGAATTACTTTTCTGACATTACAGATAAGGTTGGGTTAGTGCATTAAAAAGATACTATTGCTTTTTATATCCTTTGATTGTTTCGTGTTTTTTATATCTTTTTATTGCAGCATTCTTGAGATTTTTAAAATGAAAAATTTTCATTTATTAATGGTTTATTAGCCAGTTTTATTTTTTATTTTTTTATTTATTTTTATTTATTAATTGTTTATTAGCCAGTGCTATGTATGCAAATGCAGAACCAAAATATTGTGAAAAAGTTATTGAAATAAAGACAACTGAGTTTGCTAGTTCTGATCTTGCAAAATATTACAAAGCATTAGATAGTGCTATAATGCGTTACCACAGTTTAAAGTTGGATGAAATAAATAAAATAGTTAAAGAGTACTGGGTAAAAACTTACAAAGGAAATGATATTGACACTATAGAAATCATAGCAGAAGATGAAGAAGGAAATGGAGCATCAAAAGCAAGACGATCATATAATTATAGGGTATAAATAAAGTTTAAATTTTTTGTCTACAAGCTGAGTACGAGTTTGTATTTTATTGAATATATTTAATTGTTCTCCATTGCATATTAAAATAAAAGTATGTAAAGCATTTAAATATATATACAGGGTGTCTCAAAAAAATTTGTATTTTATTGAGACACCCTGTTTGTATTTTATTGAATATATTTAGTTGTTCTCCATTGCATATTAAAATGAAAGTATGTAAAGCATTTAAATATATATACAGGGTGTCTCAAAAAACTATATACACACTTTGATACCTTGTTTTTGATAATAATGAATAATTTATATATATATATATATATATATATATATATATATATATATATTAGTAGAAAATCTAAATATATATATATGTATATATATATATACATATACATATACATATACATATACATATACATATACATATATATATATATATATATATATATATATATATATATATATATATATATATATATATATATATATATATATATATATATATATATATATATATATATATATATATATATATATATATATATATATATATATATATATATATATATATATATATATATATATATATATTAGTAGAAAATCTAAATATATATATATGTATATATATATATATATATATATATATATATATATATATATATATATATATTAGGGCTGTACCGGATTTAATTTTTTCAAATCCGGCCGGAGCTAGATTTGCCGGATTTCTACTGACAGATCCAGCCATTCTGGCCTATAGAATTTCTTTAGAAATTCTAAAGAAATTCTATAGGCCATATGTTTTAAAAGTTTATAGTAATTCTATTGAACTTTTTTTCCGGGATTTTGTCACTCCGCCACTGTAGTGGATCATTGTGTCTATTTATTTCTGGTTCTTTCGGATATTTCCTTAGCTGAGTTTCAATACCTTTTAGTAATTGTTGTTTATGTGCCCTGCCACCAGCGGACGTAGACTGAATAATTTTATCAATAAATTGCCAGAGTAATGATGATGATGATGTAGAAAAATTATTAAGCCCGGCTTATTTTGATGGATTTTCTTCACTTTTGTCAATTTTCTGTTCAGCATGCTCAGATTGACTTCAATCTTGTTTTTTTCAGCTCTCAGTGTTGCCTCTAATGAGGAGAATTTAGTTTTAAATTGTGAGTTAACCAGCCTCGTCAGTATATAAAGAGGTTTCTCTTTTCAATGCTTTTAAAACGCTCATCCAATCACTTGATTAGGGTTGACATCATAGTCTTTATACCTGCATCATTGTAGAATATCGTGTGTCTTCCCTTCAGAATTTTTTCTTGCGTTGTTGTTTGAAATTAGACTAAGCTTATTAAATTATAAAGAAATATAAATACAAATACCAAAACAAATATGAGGTTCATAAAATATATAATTACAAAAAAAATTGATTTTTATAAATAAAATATTAGGTATACATGTAAACACGGGCAAAAAAAATGTAATAAATATTTGACAAAATTCAAAACTCCGGCTAAAATTATGCCGGATTTGCTAAATTTTTGCCTGAGCCGGATTTGGGCCGGATTTGTAAAAACAGCCGGATTTCGGCCGGAGCAGGAGCCGGAGCCGAAATCCGGTACAGCCCTAATATATATATATATATATATATATATATATATATATATATATATATATATATATATATATATATATATATATATATATATATATACACAATGAAAAATGTCAAGCAAAATTGCTTGACATTTTTCATTGTGTATATATATAAAAAACAGCTTCATTCCTGAAAAAATTTGTAACAAAATATTAAAAAATATATGTAGCAGAATTACTACAAACTATATTTAACACTAGAGGGCTTTCAATGTTTCATCAGAAGTGCTAGTTTAAGTGTTGTTATGCAAAAAAAAAAAAAAAAAATATTTGTGTTACAAAAGTATAATTTTTAATCAATTAAGGTATTGTTGCTATTAGTTATCATTGTCTAATGTTTTTTAAAACAAGAAGTTTTAGTTAAAAGTATCATGCTTTTGTTTAGGCAAATGACTTTCATGCGACAATGAATTTTTACCACTTTTAAGTTCTATAAAAACAAAAAGTTGGAAAAACGGTTCCATTATTTTATTATTTATACGTTGGCAACCATACACAAAGTTGTCAAATTTATCAGTTGAATGGGTGGTTCTGCAACTTGCTATATAACCATTTATGCGATTTCTCAAATTATTTGTTTTTCCAGTATATGTGGATTGACCATGATAAACATTTTAAATAATAAATTACATTCTTGCTGTCACAAGTAATGTGACTCTTTATGTTCCAGATAGTACCATTAGATGTTTCAAAATATTTTACCTCTTGTAAGTAAAATAGACAAATTTGGAACAACTAACATTACATTTAAAAATTCCTGTATTTTTATTGTTTGGTGGTACGGAATTAAATTTTGTAGAAGTAAGTTGTCTCAGTGGTGGTTGTTTGTAAACTATTACAGGATTAATATTAGAAAAAAGTAGTTGTGTTCTTTCACTAGATGATAGACTGAATAGAAGATTAGTTTTAGTTAGTTTAGGCTGGCAGTTTATATTACTGTAAAGTGTAGTGACTAAATGAAAGATTTCTTTAGCTTTTTTTTTGTTTAGCTGGTCCTTGCAGTTTTGCATTATGAAATGCTTTTTCAATAACATTGCCTGGGTAATTGCATTCTTTCAGCCATAATTTAAGCTCTGCTAAATGCTGTTTTTCTATTGTATAATCAGATGTAAATACAATTATTCTTTTTGAAAGATTAAACGGAATGTTTTTTTTGGTATGATAAGGATAAAGACTATTGAAATTTAAATAATCATGAACATTAGTTTCTTTATAAAATATATCTGTTTTGATAAAGACTATTGAAATTTAAATAATCATGAACATTAGTTTCTTTATAAAATATATCTGTTTTGATATATTTGTTGTTTTGAAGAATGACAGAAATGTCTAAAAAATTATATATGTTATAAATATTCTCTTTTTCAATAAATTCAATGCCATAATCAATTGTAAAGATAATTGACTTGCTTAATTCAGCTAGTGACAATTTAAAATTTTCTATATCTAGATGTTTAGGCCATATGTTAAAACCATCATCAACATATTTTAAATAGAACTGTTCAATACTTTGAACTTTATCATTTGAAAAAAACCTAGGTAAAATTTTTGGAAAAAGTATTGTTTCTTCTAAAAAGACATGCATTGCTGGTGCAAAGTCTGTGCCCATGGCTGTGCCTGTAATTTGGTGAAATAATTAGTTATTGAAGAGGAAATTATTGTTTTTTAAAATAAAGGAACTGATTCGATAAAGAAACTGGAAATAATTCCTTCAGGTAATAGGTTTTTATGTTTTTCAACCCAGAATTTTAATGCTTCTAATCCAAGGTTGTGGGGAATCGTGGTGTAAAGATTTACAATGTCACACATTAGCATACATGATTCCCCACGACCTTGGATTAGCAGCATTAAAATTCTGGGTTGAAAAACATAAAAACTTAATACCTGAACAAATTACTAAATTTACTTCCGTACCACCAAACAACTTTGTCATTTAAAAGAAGAATGTAATTTATTATTAAAAATGTTTATCATGTAATGGTCTATTAACATATACTGGAAAAACAAATCATTTAAGAAATTGCATAAATGGTCATATATCACGTTTCAGAACCGGCCATTTAACTGACAGATTTGACAACCATGTGTATGGTTGCCAACGTATAAATAATAAAATAATGGAACCGTTTTTCCAACTTTTTGTTTTTAACATATGTGATATAATAAAATATCACTGGATAAACAAAAAATTTTGACTAAAAATAAAAATTTAGTTAAAAACCATAGTTATTAAGTATTAAAATTTAAAATAATAATTTTTACATAAAACAAATATTATTTTTGAACTTTTTATAAAATTTCACTTCTTTTGAGTACCAGGTTGACCTACTTGTGAAGAATTTTTTTTCCCAGAATTTTAGGGGCCGTATAAATGTTCGAAGGACTTGGGGCACCTCTAAAAAATTTTTTTTTTCAAAATTTTTTGTTTATCCAGTGATATTTTATTATATCGCATATGTTTAGAGCACAGACAAGGCAATTTTAAAAAATTGTTGTTTTTTGATGCACCCTAACAGTTAACCCACTTTAAGTCCTGGCTATTTAAACAGAGTTTATACAAGGTTATATAAATTTCCAAGCTGACTATTATTCTTGTTAACCTCCTGCTATCATGTCAGAGAGCTTCATATAGCCGTAACCGTAAATTAAACTGTTAAACTGGGGAATAAACTATTTATGTCATAAAAGCATAAAAGGTTAAAAAATAGTATAGTAAAGATAAAACTGCTTCATTTTAAAATATCTTTTTGCAAAAATAAAATCAATAAGTTTCTAATTTTAAAATTATTTACATATAGACTTTTAAGAAGAGCAGAGATTATTGTAAACTTGCAGAAATAAATCAGACCATTAGGTAAAAATTAACAAAAATGGAGCTACTTTACACACCTTGACATTAAATTCTTTAAAATCAGGCAGATTTTTATTCTGAGTAATAAAATACTCAAAGAGATCAATAGAATGACTGACTAAATTTCTCTCCAGGGAGTCGCAATTTTTGACCTGCAACTGTTTTGATTCTGCAATTTTGGACAAAAATGATATTTTAGTCTTATTATTTAAGAATAGTTCATGTCATAAAATAACAAATATTTTTAAAAAAATGGTTTAAAATCAGATGTAAAATACTAAGAAAATAACTCTAAACCAATTTTTTTTTTTCTAATGACAGACTTTTCTTAAAATCAGTAGAAATATAATAAAAATGAAATCAATAGAAATAGCACTCTATGTTTTAGTTAAACTTAGATTTTCTCAAAATGCTATTTAGACTCGTGATTTAATTTGATTTGCGAATCAAGGCCTACTTCGAATTGTGATTTGATATGAATCTATTCTGTATTCAAAAACAAAGGGAGGTTCAAAAAAATCAAAAAACCAGATCAAATCAAAGCTGAAATCCTTCTGAAAGCAGTTTTTGTTGATCAAAGACCAGTCTTGAGTTGTATATTTCACTAGACTGCTGGTTAATATTTGATATTGTAAGTCATAGTTTGAAAAAATGCCTAGAGATGAGACTTCCTCAAACTTTTTAGGTACAATGAATTCCAAAACTTTTAAAATCTTTTAAAGTTGCTAACAATATATCAGAACTCACAGCAAAAATGTAAATCTATTAAGCATAGTTTAAAAAATTTATTAAAAAAAATAATTTGTAAAAAAAAATTCAATTTTGCTGTGCTTACAGTAAAGTTTATTCAAAGTAATGTAGAGTGTGTGATGATCTTGGAGAAGCTTCAGAAACTACTTCAAATAAAGAGTTCTTATAAAAAAAATATTTAAAAAAGAAGAGTGGAGTCAAAGAGCTAGCTACGGCGACTGCTTCCTCGCTTTCTTGTTATTGAATGGTTCTAATATATTGAATTTTGATCAGATCTCTAACTGCAAACTCTGAACCTTAAAAGTTCATTTAAAAATTATTTTTTACATATTTTCTTGAGATATTTGTTTTAAGCTGAAAATTTATATGTATATAAATATTATTGTACATTTGCAGCGTTTAAACAAATTCTGATGCAAACATCCTTCAGTAACAAGACATCTATGGCAGTGACAGATCCAGCATTTTTTGGTTTGAGGTAGCTAACAGGCATGACAAAACTTGAAATATTTGTATGTTTATACTTATGTCAAATAATGATGCTTTTTAAAAAGTTGCAATGATTGGAGGCTGGGAACGAAAAAAAGCCCTAAAATTTTATTCCCCTGCCCCAAACGTGAAAGCAAAATGAAAATTTTTTTTTGCTATTCTTAACTAAGTTTATATTTCATCGATAAATTTTAAGTATTGCTTTACAATCTCTAAGCGTTCAAAAATAATGACTAGATAAAATTTGAAACCCCCTCAATTTGAGGGGGGTTTAATTTTTATATGGTTATAATTTATGAACTCTGAGAAATATTACTATGAAACTTAAAATTTATCAATTAATATAAACAAAGTTAAGAATTTCAAAAAAATTATTTTACTAACTTGTTGCTCTCTTGTTTGGAGCAGGGGAGATATAATTTTTGGTCTTTTTTAGTTTCCAGCCTCCAATCATTGCAATATTTTGCAAAGCATCATTATTTGACATAAGTATAAACATACAAATGTTTCAAGTTTGCACCATGTCTGTTAGCTATCTCAAATACCAAAAAATGCTGCATCCTTCACTGATCAGTGTTTCGATGCCTACTCAATGTATTTTTTTTTACATAAAAGAAGCGTAAACTTCCAAATTAAATGCTCCTCTGCAGTGCTCTGTGATGCGACAATTAGATCTTTTTGAAGCTCCTAAAATAACCACAGAAAAAATGTGTTTATATATATTTTGAATCATATTGATACGTTTTGATCAAGTTTAGTTAACAACTAAAGATCGAAAATCCTTTACTCAATCTTTTAAGGAAACCATTTTGGATTGGATTTGTTTGATCCAAGGCTCTGGTAACAGTATTTTGATGAAAAACATTATTTGATAACAAAAAGGGGCAAAAATCATAAAGTTTGTTGTGTGACTGGAAAAAAGCCTAAAGATCAACAAAAAATTAATTTACAGTAGCCAAAGTGTTTATCTACATTAATTAGTAATTTATCTACATTAATAAGTAAGATAGGCACAGCATATTTCTTAAATTAATATGCACAGTATTTTTTTTGGTACACGAACACATAGAGAAAACATTGTTGAAAAAATTAATTGGATTTGATATCAGAATCAATTGGCGCCAATGTTTGGAAATTGCCCTAAATTTATTCAAAAATTACAAAAAGTGTAACTTTGAACAATACTTCTATCAAGAAAAAATAAAAAAAAAGTAATTTATATAAATATAACCTCTACGCCACACTTTATACCACTCCGTATAAAAATTGGTTGTCGAAAAAAAATTGTGGGATGGACTAATGTTATCTGACCTCCTCACAATGCTCAGTGCGTTACTACTACTTGTAAAAAAAAATTATAGTTTTCTTTTTTTTTTTTTTTAATTTTTAAAAATTTGTTTTTTATTCAAGGTAGTCATGCTAAAAGGTGGAGTTTATCTTGACATGAGGAGCAGATGCAGTGCTGGACAAAAAGTCAGTGATCTAACAGTTTTTAATCTTGGTTTGTATATACATACACAGAACATACACAGATACATTCAGTTATTACTTATTTATCATATAATATTTTTATAATTGTGTAGTTAAACTTTGTGTGTATATATATATGTATATATATATTATATATATATATATATATATATATATATATATATATATATATATATATATATATATTCCTTTTTTTATTTTATATTGAATTTTATGAAATTATTATCAATAAAGTTTTTCAATGTTTCAATTAAGACTTAATTTCTTAATTTTTTACTTTGAGTTTTTAAAAATTTAAAGTGGTTTTGTTTGGAAACTTTTATTTAGATTTATTTCATTATTATTATTTACCATTTATTAGTTTATTATTATTATTAATTAGATTAAATGCTTTCCACTTTTCTCTAAAATCATATTTTTACAAAATCCATATGCTATTTATAATAATCAACATGATATATGCATTTATAAAAACTATTTATAACAATCAACATGATATATATATATATATATATATATATATATATATATATATATATATATATATATATATATATATATATATATATATATATATATATATATATATATATATATATATGTTAATGTTTACATATTTTAATGTTTACATATTTAATGGTTACAATTTAATGTTTACATTTTAATGTTTACATTTAATTTATTGTTTTACATTTTATGTAAAAATTTGATAAAGGTTTTAGCATCACTCATTATACGGTTAGCATTGGCAGAGACTTTTTGCTTGAATTGTGGTATTCTGGCATTAGATGAACCCACAACAAACTTAGATGAAGCTAATATTGAAAGTCTTGCTAACTCACTAAAAGAGTAAAAAAATTATTTCATTAGATTTGTAATCATTTATATATATATATATATATATATATATATATATATATATATATATATATATATATATATATATATATATGTATGTATATATATATATATATATATATATATATATATATATATATATATATATATATATATATATATATATATATATATATATATATATATATATATATAAATATATATATATATATATATATATTTCTTATGGTTCTTTTTATATAGTTTTTTTGTTTATATTATATATATATATATATATATATATATATATATTTTTTTTTTTTACAATATTTTTTTATAGTATTATAGAATTGCGACAGTCACAAAAAAATTTTCAACTGCTAGTAATAACTCATGATGAGAGGTTTGTCCAAGAGCTTGGAAGATCAGATTATGTTGATCATTATTTTAGAGTCTACAAAGAAAAGTATTTTTTTTTTTACAGTTTCATTTTATTTCTTTTTTGTTTATATATTTGTATTATGCTAAAATTATTATTTTAGTGGCTACTCAAAAATTCACAGATTGCTTATGGAGACAAGAGAGTAATCACCTTATATTTTACTCAAAAATCTACAGATCGTTGTTATGAAAACAAGAGAATAATTATCTTATAGTCATAGAGTTCATATATATACAAGTGACTAATAAGTTTAGCGTTTAAAAAACCTCAAAATTCACAGATTGAGTAAATGGTTAAATAAATGGAAATGTTTTTAAAAACTATATATAGAATATTTTTTGCAATTGAAGTCATGTAATTTTATGAAAATATATAGGCTAATGAAGTCTTTTTTTTAACCTTGTTATTGTATATGTAACCTTGTTATTGAATATGTAACCTTGTTTTTTAATATTGAACTAATAATTAGTTTTTGCTTCACTATTATAAAATTACTCTTATTATAAAAAGATATATTTTGAGTGCTTCGTCTAATTTATCCATTAGTAGTAATTATTATCAAAATTGAAAATTTTAATTTTATTTTTGTTATGAATAATTATTTATTTATACTTTATGAAGTTATATTTAGTTATACACCATTATTTAGAAAATTTTGATTACATAGTTTTTAAAATATAAAAAATGATTTCAAGCCAACTTGTTCTAAGTGATTCAGAGGATGAAGAAAATGCAGAAATTTTATATGGTCACTTTACTGCTGATATTGTTGGCATTAGGTATTATAATGGAAGAGTAAACAACAAAGAAATGGTTTCTCTCTATCGGGAACCCCTTAATCAATATGATAAAAATGCAATACGAGTTGACAATGTTTCTGGACAACAAGTTGGACATATTAAGAAAGAACAAGCAGCTGTGCTTGCAATTGTGATGGATAAAAAATATGCTAAAGTTGAAGGGTTATTGTTTTATAGTTATAATTTCAATATTTGAATTAATAAATATAATAATTCATTATAATTATGACAACTTGTTATAATTATAAAAATTCATTATAATTATGCTAACTTGCCTTAATCTTTATGGTTTATTATAATTAAATATTATTGATACATTTTTTATTAATTCATTTTTTTATTTTATTTATTGATTTAAAAATATAAAAAGTCACATAAAAAAAATTATATTCTCAATATAAATACATGTTTAGATAGTATGTCTGACATCACACTGAAATAGCCTGCTGTCGGGGGTTTCAGTACATACATCAACTATCTTAGTCTGCTGCTACAAAAGAGTGCTGCTAAATCGACTGAGGATATGAATTGGGGCACTAATCTTTTCTTTCCTTTTTTTTTTTTTTTTTTTTCTCTCCAAAAAGGCTTTATGCAATAAAAATAAGCAAAACTAGTAACCATTTCCTGATTTATATATCCTTTAATATATACATAATTGTGTATGTATGTATTAATATATACATAATTATGTGTATATATATATAATATATACATAATTATGTATATATGTATGAAAAAAGTGTATTCAGTATATAAAGTGTTTGTGTGTGTATATACAGTTAAAGCAGAAAAGATCTTAGCTTTTATAATTATTGTAGATAGTTACTTATAAATGCAAAATTTGGGTGCTGGCAATACACTAAAACAACAAATAAGTGAGGTGGGTGATTCCATAGTTATCAACCAATAGAAAAATATCTTATGCCTTAAATACAATAAAATTTTGTGTAATTCAATCGTTGTTCTTCTAGAATATGGCAACTACATGGCTTGCTAAATGTTTACAAATACAGCAATGGATTATTGCACAATTTAAGATGTCTATGACAACTGTTTATGATATCATTTAGCACATCAAGTCAAAAGATAGCACATCAAGTCAAAAGATAGCTACAATCCATGACATTCCTGTAAAAGACCAAGAATTACTACTCCTAAAACTGATAGCACGATATGCTGTTTATCTTTTAAGGATATACAGATTTCAAGTCCACAAATTTTTACTCAGCTTTTTAGTGTAAATGTTAGCATCTGTACAGTTTAAAAATGCATTGCAAAAGACTTTAATTAGAGTTTTATTGATTTATATAGATATTTTTAACTATTTTGGTAGACATTTTTAATTATTGTGGTAGACATTTTTAGTTATTTTGATAGACATTTTTAATTATTTTGGCAGACATTTTTAATTATTTTTGTAGACATTTTTAATTATTTTGGAATACATTTTTAATTATTTTAGTTGACATTTTTATACATTCTGGTTCTAAGCTAAATACACTTGCTGAACTTTTTCAATCAATAAGCAAATTACAACTATAATTATAGTTTGGGAATTATAGTTTAATTATAGTCTTTTCTTTTATAAACAACAATTTCATAATATTTTCATTTCATAATAATTTCATTTTTTTTAAGTTATAAAGATTTAAAAAATTTTATACTATATAAGTATAAAATATACTGTATAAATAATATATAAATAATATATAAGAAATACTATATAAGTATAAAATATACTGTATAAAATGATTATAATTTACCTTTATATGATTATAATACCTAAAATATATACTTCTTAAAAACACAAAAATCGCTCTACAAATTTGCTTATTTTAACTACAGATTGAAACTTATCCCAAATATTCATAAAATTTTCAATAATCCTGATTGCTTTTTTCTGCATGATAAATAGGCGATTTATAATACTTATGTTTTGAGTCCATGATTAAAGGAAAGAGTGAAACAAAGCATAGTAAATAGATTTTAAAGTTTTTTTGTTGTATAAAATGTCTTAGCTTTGACAGAATGGCAAGGGATCTATTCATGGTAATTCCAGGCTAAGTTTTTGTCTAGCTTTATACCCAAGTAGTTTACAAATTTTTTCAAAGTCAAAGTTTTTTCTTGTTTAACTTAATTTTGAGCTGCTGATCTAATTTTTTTGATGACTTTTAAATAACATTAAATCAAAGTTAAGGGAACTTTTGTTGGCATTTAGCCAGTTGCATAGTTTTTTAAGGTCATAGTTAACATATTTGTTGATTTTTTTTATAGACTTATTAAAATAGAGAAGGTTTGTGTCATCTGCAAAGTGTTGGACAAAATTTTAAAGATTTATATATATGTACACACAGACACGCACGCTTGCGCTTACTAATGCAAATTTATTCACTATTTTGTAACTTTTTTTTGCATACCTAAAAATACAGTTTCTTTTTTGGAAAAAGAAGAAAAAAATGAATATTGAAAAAAAAAAGATTCCTGCCCCAACCAAAACCACAATATATATATATATATATAGTAGTAGTAGTAGTAGTAGTAGTAGTAGTAGTAGTAGTAGTAGTAGTAGTAGTAGTAGTAGTAGTAGTAGTAGTAGTAGTAGATATATAGATGTAGTATATATGCACACATACCTGTATCAGTCTTCTCCGTTTGACGAGTGCTTTCACGTTCTTGCAGTTTTGCGCTCGCCCACATGCCCACCAATACTACGGCTGGCTTTTTTTTTCAAGCGTGTTTTTAAATTGCAACAAAATTTTTTTCTTAATCAAATTCTAATTAAAGAGGTACAAAAAACAAATATTTTTCTAAAATTGCATACTCCAGACAAATAATTACTGTCCGGCCAGCACTTTTTTATGCGTTGGCGGTAAATTTCAAACGTATGCTGTATATGGTTATATACCTTTTTTTTTTCTTTTAAAGTGTTGTTCCATTTGGAAAGAATAATAAATTTTCAATGCAATGTGATATATCTTTATATGGCGTTCCTGGGGAAAACATGGATAAATGTTTTGCTTTAATGGAAGCTAATGGCTATAGACTTAGTGGAGGAGTCAATGAAAGGTTGTTTTTTAATTTAGATTATACTCTTCTTTTTTTTAAATATTTTTATTTACACAGCAGATTAAGTGCAGCAAGAATTTTTATTCGCAAAAAGCATAAAATCAGGAATAAAACAGATTAAAACTGAAGTTAGGGAAGATTAAGGAAGATTAGAAGAAGTTTTGATTTCGTATTCAACACTTAATGTCAGTAATGATAATAATAATAATAATAAAATAAATTTAAATATATATAAAAGTTTTAATTTTTAATTGCATTTTTTTTATATATTATTTTCTAGTTTCATTAGACAACCATCTTGGGGTAGTTCATGGGCTATGTCACAAATTAATCAACAGAAAAAAAAGCCTTCTTATGTTGCAAATAAATTCAGTGCTGGCAAATTAATAAAACTTTCAAAAGATAAGGTAAAGTTTTAAATAACTTAGTTTCATTCATCTTTTTCCTTCTTCTTTATTTTCTTATGAGTTATTGTGATTTCTTATATTTGTTGAGATTCAATTTCTTTTCAGCACCATATCTAGCAATATTTTGGGACATACCAATCAATAAATTTCTACCTTCCCCCGTTACCCTCACCTTCCACTCCCCCTTCAAAAAAATAAAAATAAGGTCACTTTTTTTTAAATAATTATCAATTTAAAAAGTCTCTACTGTGAATGGTTTTAAAACTTAAAAGTAGTTTTTTTTAGCCAGTGGTCACAAGGCGTGTTTTTTTTAAACATTTTAAAATTTAAATACATATTTTAGATGTTTTAAACACATTTTGTGCTGGTTGGCCATGTTAAGAAAACAGGTCAAAAGTCTAAAAGTTTAAAAGTGTAAAAGTAACTATAAGACTTTTTCTTTTTTTTAAAAAACTGCAATTATCTCCTTTTTTTGCAATTATCTTCTTTTTTTTAAGAATTTCTATAAAACAAAAACACTTAAAAAATATTTTCAAGTGTTTTCGTTTAATAATTTTTTTTTTTCCTTATGCAATTAAAACTTTTTGTTTTTAATTGAAAATCATATTAAGTATGGCATAAGTTTTATTTATGAACATAAATTATCTTTAAATATATCTTATTGGTAACTAGATAAAGTATATCTATTATTTGTATATGGAAAAATTCATTAAATACATTTAAAAAAAAAAAAAAAAAAAAAAAAAAAACTAAATTGTGATAAAACAAACAAAAGATTATTATGTTATTTATAAATTATTTTGAGAAATAAATAATCTTTTTCAAATTTAGATTTCATTTAGAGTTTGGATTTCTTTAGTAATTTTTTTAATAGTTGTTCAAAAGTTTTTAGCAAGGTTTAAAATTAAATTTAATTAAAACGCAGAACTTTGAAATATGCTAACAACACAATTTAACTTTTAATGATATAAAAATCATTACTTAAATTCACATAAATATAATTTTATACTATATAATACATACATAAAATTAATAATATAAATTGTCATGTACGATTAACATAAATGACAATTTTTTAATGTGTGTTTATTAAATGATGTTGGACTTTAATCATATTGGAATTTATAAATTTTGGAAGTTTTAGTTTTGCGGCATTAGTTTGGAGGCCCATATGAGTCAAGAGGTATGGGGTTTTATCTGGATTCTGGTCTGCTTTTTGAAGTTTTAAATACAATTTTTTTTTTATAGATTTATAATAGGATTATCCAATATAAAATCCAGTTACAATTTCATTTAGGAATGTTCCTTATAATTTTTATAGGATCTCTTGTAGGACCTTTTTATTTTTTTATTTTTTATTTTTTTCAATATCTCCATTTCCAAAAAGGCTGCAAGCAACCACTATTAGAGTTGGAAGTTACTGGAAGAGAAAAGATGAAATTAATAGAGCAAGGTAACAATTAACAGATGACATAAAATATTTCAAATAATAAGAATCAGGAAAACAAGATAATGAAAGCAAATCCCAAACGACTGATATTTGAGGAAAAAAACTAGACAAATCAGAATTTTTGGTGCACTTAGGAACAGTTACAGTAAAAGGATGAGACTTAATTGAATAACGAGTAACACAAGAATGAATTTTAGTAGATGGCACAAGAGATGCTAGCTCTTTAGAGCAGTGCCCATTATAGTATTTGTAGAAAAGAGAAAGAAAAGCGACATTATGACAATGTTATAATGGTTGGAGGTTGGCTGCAAGATCCAACTATGTTTACAATCCGTATTAAATTACAATTGGTATTGAATAGTAAGTTTATGGTTAAGCTAAAATAAGTGTGTCATTAAAAAAATTACCAAAAAGAATTTAGAATAACTTTTATTGATTTTCATATTTTTTGTGCAAAATGAAAGTTGACACAAAGCTGGAAATTAAGGAGTAAATTTAACAAAAATTAAAAAAACAAAGTGACAATCTGACCCCCTTACAAAAGATTGTTAATGACAAGTTAACAGCAGTCAGAACAAAACATTTTCATCAAAGATAAATTGAATTGAATGTAAAAAGATAAAGTTGTTATTAATGCATAAAAGAAAAGTGATTTTATGGTTTTAAAAGAATCGAACAAAAAAGTTATGTAAAGCCAAAGCAGAAAGAAACTGATGAGTTCAGATTGAAATAAAGTTAAACAAAGAACTAAACAAACATTCTGGAAAATAGAAAAATGGCCCTAGAAGTAACTTGAATTTTAATGTTAGATTACTCAAGTAATTTGCCATTATATTGGTGAATTCTGATAATGATAATTAAAGTAATTTGCCATATTGTTAAATGAATTCTGGAGTATTGTACAATACAGTCTGTACTAAGGCGGCTGACAAGAAGAGGTATGGTTGCTTGAACTGTTAAATTTTTTCCTGGAATCTAATATTCATCCAGTAAATTTTTATTTAATGCTTATCAAAATAATAACCAACAAAAAACGCTTCTGAAGAGTCTTTCATAGCTTAAAATGTGCAGGATTTTTCAACCATTCCTTGAAGTATGTTTACATGCTTTAACAGGGTACTGCATTCCTTTCCTGAAAATTGAATGCTGTAAAATGGCTGCATCTTAATGTTTAGCTTAGGTGGTCAGTCTATTGGTTCAAGAAAACATTGCAAAACCAAAAACATTTAAAAAACACTCTAAAAAATTCAATAATAATTAATAACCTTAATATTCTTGTAGGATTCCAGAGCTTTTGAATCCGAAGCTTCTTCAGCAGGTGCAATCATTAGTTACTGCTTGACTATGGTGTATTCAATTATTGAAACTTTAAGTAATTTTGGAACATGGTTCATGAGTTATTCAGAACATGATTGGTTAGTTCCAAGTTCTTGCAAAATATAATCTCACTGTTGTCCATTGCTAACTTGTTCTTTAAAAATGCTTACTTTTGACAGTATGTAGAATTCAGTGAGTTTTTATTTCATTGGTTATTAATTTTGTAATAAATGTTTCAACTAGTCTGAGCTTCTTTCAGTTAAAAAAATTTTTAAAAGGTTTTTTTTTTTTTTTGCTTTATTGCTTGCAAACTTAGAGCTATAAATAACTATAAGCAAATAAGTTTATAAATAATTATACAGAAAATTATAAATATCTACAAAACTGTTGTGGATGGTAATTTTAGATTGTTTTTGCTTTATATATACTATTTAGTATTGTATAACTCAGGTTATACTTACTTTTACGTTCTTTTTTTTAGATTTTGATTGTCTTTAAAATCTAAAAACGTTTATAACTTTTTAAATCAAAATTAAAAATTTTTAACACTTTGTATAGTGAAAAAAATTTTACACACGGCTTTGACCTTTTGTTGAATACTTTCGTTCATTAAAAAATAGTTGATATAATGACTGGTCAACCTTTTTGTTAAGTTCTTTGTTTTATTGAAAAAAGATTCAAAATATCCATGGTAACCAAAATATCTTTTATCCTATAATTTTTAAGTATATCATGTTGTAAAAATGTCTGAAATGAAATTTGGTAATTCGAGTAATCAAATAAAGGCTGGAAAGTTGTAATTGTTAGTTATAACTATACCACGGTTTGTTATAACTACACCATTGCTAGGGTGCTTTGCTAGTTTAAATTTTGGCTCATTAAGGCTGCTTCTTTGACTTTATTAGGCTGTTGGTCACACAAGTATATGGTTTTGTTTTCGAATACTAGAAATAGTTGTGGTACATTTAATGTTGTCAATATGGGTGAACTTCATACTTACAATAGGGTGGAGTGATAATAACTTTTTTTATTAGAAAAATTATTGAAATTTTTTTAATAGTTTCAATTTTTTTAATAGTTTCAATAGAAACTATTTTTTTAAATGTTATTATTAATATTTAGTTAGTAATTTATAATTTCATTCATAATTTAATATCTTTTAATAATGTTAATAATTTAGCTATACTTCATAATATTGTTAGTAATAATCAGTGTCATGGCTAGTGGGTTGAAGACCCCCTTACCATCCTTATAACCTGTCATTTGGCTCTCAAAATCCTAATAAACTCTCTATTAGGTATTACAAATAAATAATAAAATAAAAAAAGAAGCTGCTTTGATATGCAAAAGAGCCCCTTAATTCATATCCCCCATTCTCCTTCTTATTGAAATGGAGCATAGGGAAGCCTTGCCACGGCACTAGTAATAATATTAATCAATTATGTTTTGTGTTGAAATTCCAAGTAGAGAATGGATTATATGCTAAATCTTTTCTATTTAAATAGTTTGTTTTGTTTTAAATTGTTATTTTACTGCTAGTTATTGTATATATAGTTTGAATTTGGTTTGATTTTAGCCTATAATACAAAAAACTTTTTTTTGAATGTTATAAGTATAAAATCATATATTTATCACTATATTTATCAAAATATTTTTTATGTTTTCTATATAATAAAACTGTTATAACTATGTATGTTTCTGTGTACAGTTTCTTTGCAATGTTATGCTTATACTATGATAATACTATACTATATTTTTACTAATATTTTTATTTATATTTCAGTAAATAGAATGTTAATATTTAAAACAAGTTTTTTATTCTTTCGATACTCAAAGCCTGAGTTGCAACTGCCAACAAGTTAGATGTCATGCGGATCTGCTGATTATCCAAAGCAAAAAATCTCAAGTCTTGTTGGTGTAGTGTCACTAGATTCTGTCATTTCTGTTACACTTCAACACAAATAGCTATTTTTGAAAACAATCCAATGTTATTATCATTACTTTTAAAGCAGATGCAATTGTCTCTCCATTCTCATTTGTTTGTCTGTGACCGCTATGGATTCTCATGCAGATCTGCTGCAGCAGATCTGCATGAGAATTGTTTTGTTTTTTTTATTTTTTTTTTAAATTGTGAAAAAATGAATAATATTGAAAATCCTAAAAGCAGAATAAGATCAAAGTTAGTAGAAAATGACTAATATCAAAATAATTGAATAATGTCAAAAATTAAGCAAATGATTATGATTCATTTTTTTTTAAATGATAGACTGCCTGCCCAAACCAAATCCTCAGTAGATGTGTCAACACTTCTTGCATGTTCTACCTATTTATCAGTCGGTGTAGCAGCGCTCCTTGTGTGTTTTACCTATTTGTCATTCGATGTAGCAACACTCCTTGCATGTTATTATTAATTTAAATACGTTGATACATTGATCCTTTTATTCGAGCAGTCAATTTTAGATACGTGTACTATTCTTAGATACTTCTGCTTTCCCTATTTTTAGATAATAATCTACATTTGTGAATTTTAAAATATATATTTTTAAACATTAATTAGAAAATATTAACTTTGATCTTAATCATTGAATTTTTGTCAGTTTTTTTTTAAACCCTAATCATTTTTTCAAGCAGTTAATTTTCATTACTATATGCTTTCCCACTATGGCATTAGCTGTACTGGAGGATTTTGGCGTAATTTTACATGATGACAAAATACAAGTTATTGACTAGAGCAAGATAAGGAAAGAAGAGCTTGAAATGCTGCATGAAAGCCATAAATAAAGCCTATAAATTCTTATAAATTTTAGTTTATTAACAAATTCTTCTTTAAAATAATTTTTTAATGAACTAAAAATAATGCATTTGAAAATAAGGGTGTATCAATATTCGGAATAAAAAATATCAAATATGGAAAGTTCTGAAAGTTTGTCTAATTTGGTCAAAAATTGCTGCTGAGGTAATTCTTGTCCAATTTTCCTCATATTAGTCTCATTTTTTTTTTTTTTTTTAATAATAAATATAGAAATCAGAGAAAATCTACCCTAATGTACATATATGTCTATAAAAACTAAGTTTAGTGGTCGTTTTTCGGTTGCATTTAAATTTTTTCTTTTAGTGTCAAGGTAAATATTTTTTTAAAATAACATAGAGAACTATGTTCAAGTTATGGCCTTAGAACATATTAAAGATAGAAGTATATTAAAAATTTTATGATTTGAAACCGCAATACCTATAAACAATAAATGCTTCTATTATATTCATGTTGCTATATTTCCACTTCATCAATTATTTTGCCAAATGATCAAATTTCGTGTATTATTGACATAAGACAAGTGTTTTGCCACTAATGCAATTATGTGAAAGTTGATTTTTTAGTTATTTAACTTATATTTTATTATGTTTTTATATTTTTTACTTTTTTCAAATTTATTCAAAGCCATTTTATAATTTAAGGATTTAAAACCATTTCCTGATTTAAGCTTTTAAGATTGATTTACTGTTTAGCATTTTTGGTGTGTGTATATCATATATCATGAATTCGTCATTGAATATTATATATTCTATATTTCTTTATTATATATATATTTAGAAGATTAGTTTTTTTTTTTTTTTATAGAAATATTTTCAGAAATAATTATTTCTATAAGAAATATATTCATATTTTTTTAAATTTTGTAGTGAATTATGTTATTTATGTAAAAATGTAAAAAAATATATAAAAAGTATAAAAATAAAATCCTTTATTTTGGTCAATTAAGGTCAATAAAGAACTTGAAAGTTTGTTTGAAAATCTTACTGAAGTTGCTAAGAAGCTGCAGAGTCAAGAACCTTCCCAGGTAAGTTGGTTTTGGCCATACATACACTATTGTATGCTTATTTTGTATGGCCAAAACCAGCTTACCTTCCCAGGTAAGCTGGTTTTGGCCATACATACACTATTGTTTTTATGATAATATTTTATATAGCTTTGTTCTGTTCAGAATTACAATAAAAAATATAAAAGATAAAAGTGTAATCTACATAAGTTGAATTTGCATATACTATTATTTATTTTTGGAGATATGAGAACTTTGTTTACAAAAACAAATTTAAAATGTTACTTATTTTGGGACCAGATGCGTTAATATCACTGTTTAAATGATATTTTTGAATTATGCTAATTTTTAATTTGATTGTACAAAAAGAGAAATGAAAATATTTAAATCTTTTTATTTCTCTTTTTGTATGTGTATATAAACTTGTTTTGAACAAAATAAAAAATTATTTTTTAGGTTGTTAAAACAAGTCTTTATCCTCATCAAAAACAAGCATTATGGTGGATGTCGTCCTGTGAAAATAGTACAGATTTACCTCCATTTTGGACATTTGTTGATAAATGGTATTGTAATTCTTGTACAAATTTTATGACAGAAACAAGGCCAAGTTCTCTTAATGGTGGACTTTTAGCTGATGACATGGGTGTTGGAAAGACACTATCGATGATTGCACTTATTGCTACAAACTATAGACATAAAAAGCCACTCGTTGATGTGAGAATGATTTTTATCTACATTTGATCTCAGATTTTACTAGTATAGTTAGAAGAAATGTTATAATATTAAAATCTTGAATTGTTTTTTTATTAGTTTTTTTTTGTTTTTTTATTTAGTTATTATGCTCTGTGAATTTATAGATTTTTTAATTTTATTTTTTATTTATATCTATTTTTATATGTTTAGTCATAATCTATAACTGATCCTAATAGAAAAATTTTTTATAGTCCAATAACCCTTTAGCTATTTCAAAGACTACCTACCTAGGAGTTTAAGTTTGATAAGGTTAAAAAAGAGCCCATTGATCTTGAATGCTAATGACCTAGTGATGCCATCAATATAAAAATACTTGGTGAAAATAAAGTTTAAATCAGGTTAACACTTGGAAAAGCATTGTAAAAATCTGTTTCAAAGTTTTTAAAAGAAAATGTTTTAACACTTGTTGCACAGGTTGTTGCACAGGTTGTTGCTCAGGTTGTTGCACAGGTTAACCAGATTTATAAGAAGAAACTTTCAAGACCTTTATAAGAAATGTGAAAAATTTTAAAGAAAAGCTATCTTGAAGTATTTGACAAAGCATGCAGAAGAAAGAAGCCCTCAGAGACAAAAAGTTATTGTGTTTAAATGGAGAAGGGGGTAAAGTTTTTGAAGAAAAGTGTAAGTTTACACGTAGTGTGTTATAAGTTCATAATATGCAAGGTTTGAATTAAGTGATCAGGAATTGCGATTTCTGGAAATATTTTTTGTCCTAAAATTCTTATTTTTTTAAAAACCCTGAAAAAATATAATTATTATTTAAGGTCCAACACATTTATACCGTAATTTAAAAATTAATAATAAAAAATTGTACTAAAGACATTTGCGCATTGTATGAAACATTAAAATGAATTTTTGTTTAGTTGAGGAATTATTTTTAAAACATAATTTTTTATATTAAAAATTAGTTAATTAATAATAAAAAAAAGTAATAAAAGATATATTTTAAAATCGCTCTATATTAGTTTTCAAACTCCTTTGTCTTTAATTTTATATACATATCTGGGAGTTACAAGCTATTTAATTGACAGTTATATTTAATTTATAAAAATTGTTGAATAAGATTTTAATAAGATATAAAAGTATTTTATGTCTTATTATTATTTTGCAATTTCTTTTATTTAAAATATTAGATCACCGCTTAATTCGTTTAGTTGTGGTTTGCAGTTATTTTTAATACTACATTAAACTAATGCTTTATTTTTCTAGTTTTTTCTGATGATTTATCAAATGATTTATCAAATGAATTAAAATTTAAATCATAGTTTTTAACAATAATAAAAATAATATTAATAATTGGCTTTATAATGAGATATTACATCATATTTTTAAGATCAAAATAAATATTTTATACTGAATAACAAATATTGAGTTAAGTTATAAAAATATCATTTTTAAAAAACTGAAAATTTAAAAAACTAATGTTGAGTTATAAAAAATGTGGATATTTTATAAAAATTTATTTTTAAAAGTTGCTAAATTAAGTGTTTAAATAGAGTAAAGGTTTATTTGCAGTGAAAAAGGTGAAAGGGCCAGTAAACATAACAAGTTTGCTTGTCTTTCTGGTCTATTGGATGAATTGGTGAAGGCTTCAGACTGTTGAATTAGTGTCAGATTTTTGCAATACAGTGTAGCATTAATGTAAATTCTATGAAATTTTAAATGCATGAGAGTAAAATCCTAAATGATTCCTAGAATAGTTAGAATGTAAAGATTTATAATGTAGGTGGACCCAAACTAGAATGTGTTTTATATGTATGCTGCCGTCCTAAGAAAAAACGCAGTAATCGCAAAAATTGAAAAATCGAGATTATTGCACCAAACGTTTTAACATCGTTTTCTGTGTAATAACGCTCTATATAAAAATATTGTGGTATATTCCGAAGTCATCAAACCCATAGTTCATTTTGCCGTAAGTTAAAAAAATATAGTTCACACAAAATTTAAAAGTGGCTTTTTCTCAGAATGTCATTTTTGTTGTTTACTGCGTTTTTACTTAGGGCGGCAGTATGTATGTATGTATGTATGTATGTATGTATTTATGTATGTTTGTATGTATGTATGTATGTATGTATGTATGTATGAATGTATGTATATATGCATGTATGTGTGTATCTATACATATAAACTTGTTTATTAATTTTTTTATTTTTATTTTGTTAATTTTAGATCAAATCTCAAAGTACAAAAAGAAAACATTGTGATAACAGTATTTTAATCTCAGATGCACTTGTAAATATTCCTGAAAATGATGATAAACTTCTTAACTCTCCTCAAAATGAAAATATTTCTTCATATGAAAATCTACTTCATCCTAATTTAGAAGACAATAATTATAAAGTAAAAAAAATGAGAATAAATAAAAGTTACAAATCAAGACCAACAAATAAAAGCAATATCAAAAAAGAAATATCTGAAAATAATACAGTTACTATTGCATCTTCAAGATCACGAAGGTAAATATTGCACACACAGATATATGTATATATATATATATATATATATATATATATATATATATATATATATATATATATATATATATATATATATATATATATATATATATATATATATATATATATATATATATATATATATATATATAAATATCTAAACAATTTCATAATTTTAAATTTATTTAAAAATAATTCATTTTTAGCACTGACTATATATATTTATATTTGAGTATATATATTTTTATATCTAAATATATATATTTAGAATTTTTATAGAAAAAAGAAACCAAACTTGCAATTAGTTTAAATTTAATCATAAATTAATCAATAATTGCACTTTGCAGCAAAAACTTACAAAAAAAACAAAAAACAAAGTGACTAAATACAGTTAAAATAAAAATATTCTTTGTTTAATTCAGCAATTATTAAGTATTATTATATTAATAATAAAATAATATATTAAATTTTTTTATAAAAATAATGATAAATTAAAAACTCAATCATTTATGGAATAAGAACTTTCATCACCATTATAATGAAATTAATCATTTAAAATAAAAAATTGATATACATATATATACTTTATGTCATATATAATATTTATCAACAAAGCGAATTAAAGCAATATATGGTAAACAATAAAACTATTTTAAACCCTTTTTTAAAGTTGAATGATTTTATGAAATTTTAGTAAATTTTACAAATTACATCCTGATTAGTTGTCAAAGCTTATTTTTCAAAAGTCTAATTTATTTTTTTAACTATTCAACCATAACCAGCAAGAATTCATTTTGGAATGTTAAAATAATTTTTTTTTTTATTTCGGGTGGTTGTTGACCAGCTGTTAATTGCAAAACGGTTTAAATATTGATTCATCCAACCAAAGAACATTATTCCAGTCAACTGGTGTCCTATTTTTGTGTTCTTTAGCCCAATTCAATTCTTTCGGTTTATCAACTTTGGTCTTACATTTTTTTCTTAATGCACAAAGCAAACTACCTGGAAGACCTTGTTCCATCACAAGAAAGGAAAACCACTATAAAGACTTGAATGGTATTGCATGACGCATTACTATCTTCTACAATAAATAAACAAATTTTCTTATATATGCTATTTAATGTTGTTATTACGATAGGCTATCATTTTCACTGTACTTCTAAATTAGTGTTGGTCTGTTTATTAAAATATCAACCTCTTAACATTATTAAACTTTTTCTTGGTTCATTCTCATTAATTTGTCTGTATTGGCTTTTTTAATATAGTTTATTTTGTAAATTTTGTAATAATATTATTATATTATTTTCTTATATTACATTATCTTTATTGTCTATGCTATGAAGTCAAATTTTTTGAGTTAAATAAAGGAGAACAAAAAAAAAATGTTTTGTAAGTTCTTATTTATTTTTGATTTATTTCAATAACAACAAGTCATTTTTTATTATTTTTAAAAAGATCTCTTTATATTAATGCTGAACTTAGTAGTAGTTTTAATAGTAGTAGTAGTAGTAGTAGTAGTAGTAGTAGTAGTAGTAGTAGTAGTAGTAGTAGTAGTAGTAGTAGTAGTAGTAGTAGTAGTAGTAGTAGTAGTTACCAGTTAGCGCGTTATAAATTCAGTGGAACACTGCTGCAAAATCTTTAAAAATTGTTATTTTCTCTAGTTTATATACCAATGTCCTTTTTATTCCTCTCTTTACCATGTCTAACTGTGCCAAGTTTAAATGAATTTTTTTTTAAACTTGTTTTTTTTTTTAAACTTGTTGCATCTTCTACAGTTGTATTACCAATTTGAATAACAGCACCCATTACTAAAAAAGTTGCATTAGTCCATACCTTTCTCTCCATCCCATGCACAGCTCAACAACCACAAACTGGCTTGCAACTTTTAATCTCTGCACAGGCTTCTTGAAAAACATGTTTTAAGTTCTTATCACAAACTTTATTGTCCTAACTCAATGTCAAACTAAAAACTATTTTTTTCTAAAGACAATCAAGAATTTTTAACCAACGACACACTGGTAAATGATCCACCAACTGTCCACAGACTGAAACCACTACTTTCCTGCCTAACTTTTTTGGGATTTTCTCAATTTTCTAGACCTTATTAATTTGTCACCAACTTATTGCACATATAATCCCAATACGGCAACCCCATTATTACTAATATGCTTCATCGTTCATTAAACCTTTCTTAAAAGTCTTAAAATTTCTTAAAAGTCTCGAGACTCACTACATTCTTATTAATAAAGTTGTCATTTTCGTAATAAGATTTTCCATTCTTCACCAACACGTCTTAGTCATTAATGGCATTTCATAGTTATTGGCGCAACATTTTATCTAAAATCAAGCTTTTTTAACAATTTATTTTGTTCTAAAATACCACACGGCGGAGGGCCTAAGGTATTCCTAAATTTTTAAATGGAGATAAACCTTTAGTAGATCCACGATTGTTAATTTGTTTCCATTCTTCTCTATTCTCTCAACTTATCAACACTTATATCTTCATCTCTTATATATTTCTTAATGAAATTGCTAGTTTCTCTCTAATGCAAAATAAGTTGCAGCCATTAAAGGAATTTTTCTTTTGGGCAGTCCCATCATGTTTTCATCATACTTAAGTAACCATTTACGTTTGACACAATCCTGAATTTCATATTCTGCCTTTATTTTGGTATCTCGTATCAAGCAATATTGTTAAACAGTCATTCAGGTTCGTCCCAGTTTTCCATTTCCTTTTGAATGTTAATTCGATTTTATTAGCTTTATCTTCGCTTAAAAAAATGAAATTAACAAATATTTCACATTAGCTAGCCCTAAACTTCACAATTTCTGATGAAGAAATAAAAATTCTTTTGATAACTTAGTGGAACTCATTTCGAGACTCATATTAACTCCAAATAGTAAAAAATCTATAAAAATAACTTTGTGGCGTTTTTCAATATTATAAACCTCGAAAGTCACATTCTATATATTGATGAACCTTTCTTTCTAAAGTCACTACCTTTGAAGAGTTTAATCATTTATTTTGTTTATCAGACAAAATCTTTTTATTTAAAATTGTCTTTGAACATCCCGCGTTTATAACTGTCACCACATCTGTCACCAACAGACTATTACCTTTCAAACAAATAATTCCACTAATTCCACTGTTGTTTAAAACCGAGGTTGCACAGACTCATTTTCCTGCATCTTTAGGTATCTCAAATCCACATGTCCATTGTCACCATATTTGAAAAACTGTCTGGAGATTACGATTTGCAATGTGGTTGTACCACATTGTTTAGTATTGTTTATGCTCTTTTTTAGTGTATAAACAATTTTTCACAATGTGGTGCAACCCTCTGCATTAACATACTAAATAAATTTTTGTCTTTTTTGAATTTTCTGATAATTTATTTCGTAAAAAGCTCATTGCACTGTAAGCATTCACAAAGAAAGCTGCCAGCACTTGCCTGACTTTATTTGCGTCAACAGTTTATACTTTTTAAACCAAATAAGCATTTTTTTTGAGGAAGAATCGAAAAAAGTGATTCTAGCTTTTTATTCTGCATTTCAGCTATCATTTTTGTTCTTTGCATCCACTCATCAGCATCTAAAGTTCCATCATATGTTTCAAGCATTTCAATTAATTTTATACTTGATACAATGCCAGGTGGCTTGCAATTTTCTTGCATAAATACAACTAAAATTAAGAAGTTTTTCTTTTCTTACTCCAATGAGATCCTGTTTTTTACAAATTCTAGTACAAATTATTTAATAATTTATAAAAGTCAAAAAATAACTATTGAAATAAGTATTCAAACTCGGGTAAACATGTTATAGTTAACCCTTGGCGACAAAAAATATTTTATAAACTTTTTTGAAAGAACCTTTTACAATATTGTCATGAAAGATCCTATATATAGATTTCTTTTCGCTACCTCAATTTTAAACAAAGAGGTATTTTTTCAATAAGTTATAGAGTTAAAATAATAGTTTCAGCATGCTATAAATAAGGTCATTTAAACTTTTAAATAAGCTGTTTAAATTTGGTTTATAACCATGTTATTCACATAAAATAGCGAGAAAAAAAATTAAAAAAACTACGAACGTTCATAATAAATATAATTCTCACATGTCCCTTGTTTTTAATGTTTAATATAAGTTACAAAAACAAATATTGGAAAGTAAGGCAAGTTAAAACTATTTTCTCGATGAGCAAAACAAAAAAATACATACGTTTTTAAGTATTTCATACAACTTTAAATATTTTAATTTTATGTAAATTCTTAACAGCGGATTATACTTTAAGAGAAGCTATTGGATAAGATTTGTTGAAAAACTTGGAATGTTTGGTTAAGAGCCTCTTAAAACAGAAAATTTATTTTTCAATTTTTTATTGCCCTAAATAACTGTGTATTTCATAGATTTGTCTTTAAGTACATTGAGTAGTCAAATTTCTTCTGAATGTATCAGTGTTTATTTTTGAGTATTAATCTGTTAAAGAACTTATTTGAATATGATTTCTTTTCATATTACTATTTTCTTTACCAACTAAAAAAATTTCGAGAAAATTCTTTGAAAGGTTACCTAATTTTTCAGATTTTATGTGTAAGAGTTACCGCTTATGCAAACCTTGCAAAATTTTGCACATTCGTTCTGACTAAAAACATCCCTCTAAAAAAGTGATCAGGCAATAAAGTAACTATTTTGATAAAATTAAGACAGATTTCTTCGAGCCGTTTAAAGACTTGACTAAAATATGGTACTTGTTGCTAATTGTTGCAGTACATTTCGTTATGATTGACAGTTTTAAGAAATAAGAGCTTAAAATATCACAAAATACAGGCAAAGTAAAATGAAAAAGACTAAGGAAAGATAAGTTTTTTACATAATATTACCAAGAAATTTTGTATTATGTTAGGCAGTTGACAGCCAAAATTCCAGAGAAATGGCTGTGAGGAATTATAGTGGTTCAGGGAATTTTACTCTTAAGCAAATAATTTCTTAAAATTCCAAAA